ATATCATTATTTTATTCTTAATTCAGTTTTATTCCTGCTTGTTTATATATTGATTGTCTGATATCCCTCGGATCTGTGCTCGGACTTGATCACCCGTGGCTCTAGAATCGAGGGGTATCACAGTCTTCCACCACCACCACTTTTAACCACCACCACCTCTATTGCCTTCCACCATTATCATTGCCACCACCACTGTCATCATTAGCGCGACAACTATTGTCGCCTTCACCATCACCACTACCACCACCTAAATTGTCACCGCCTTTCACCACCACCACACCACTTCCACCGCCTTCCACCAACACCATTGCCGCCTTCTTCCACCACCACTGAAGTCAACTTCCACCACGGTCACCTTTCAACACCATCGTTACCTACACTACCATTTTCCACCTCCACCACCATCATTGCGGTTATCTACCACTGCCATCATTTCTTCTAAAAAAAATTACAGAAGAATGTTATTTTGCTAATTTAATTATATTTGTCACTAAGAGTGGTATTTTGGATAACTCAATTTGAAATTTATTTCATTCTAAATTTTAAATTGGTCCAACTAAACACTAAAATAGTTATTATCATTTCATTCATACACGTTTCATATTTCCAATTAAACAATATAATGAGAATGACCAATCTTGCAAACCAAACGTAGCAATAATAAAGAATGTAAGAAAAGAATGTCTATAGGGCAAAGATAGTTATGGTATTATAAAATAGAAAATAGTATATTAATAAGGACTTTTATATTATTTATTTTAAAAAGAAAAGTAAAGTCGGAATATTGGCTCCCTAATAATGAAAATAAATAAGTAAAATGAACTTTATGCTGTGTGATCTCAGGTTGAGGCACCAAATCATGAGGTTGATGTAGTAGAGACAGATTATATGGCACTGTGGTGTGCCACCATTGGCATTAGGTACATTAAAGTATTTTGAAGGTCAACCCTTCTTTCCTTTGGCCTACCCTAAAAAAACACAAAAAAGATAAGATAAAATAAAAATCAATTACATTTTTAAAATCAGACCTTACAAATTTGTTATATTGGAAGTCTGTCAACCTTTTCTCTCTCTAGATTATTTCATCTATTCAATGTAGAAGGATTTATATTCCACCTTGATGGCATGATAGAAATTGCATATGGTGTGGGATAAATAAATGGAAACAGATCCTCTCCAAGGAAAGTTCTCTCCAAGCATCTACAGGTATTAATCCTATGACTATTAATGTACCACATCAACAACTTATTTCACTACTGAGTACACTAAAACACGACACTTTCTTACCATTCTGAAACTTTCTTTTTCTATTCATAAATTTTAGGAAATTAGTATTACTCAAATTTGATATTTCTACATAAACCCTTAAAATAACTTTCTTACCGTTCTTAAACTTTCTTTTTCGATTTTCTCTACCATCAACAATCTTTGATTATTGCAACTGAAGATTTGCAAGATTAATCAAACTTGGAAGATATGCAAGATTAATCAAACATATATTTTTATTCACAAATTCTAAAAAAAAAATAGTATTGCTCAAATTTCAGATTTCCACATAAACTCTTAAAATAATTTTCTTACCTTGAAACTTTCTTTTTCGATTTTCTCTACCATCAACAATCTTTGATTGTTACAATTGAAGATTTGCAAGATTAATCAAACTTATATTTCTATTCACAAATTCTAGAAAAATTAATATTGTCCAAATTTGAGATTTCTACATAAACCGTTAAAATAATTTCAATTTCCAAAGATCCATACTATGTGAGATTGATAGAAAGATTGACTGTTTTGAGAGAAGAATTTAGGCTGTGTTTGGCGTGGCTTCTGGAGGCTTCAAAATGGGCTTTTAAGTCCAGGAAGGAATTCACAAAAAAATTGAGTATTTGGTAAATATTTTTAAACGGGCTTCCTTATAAAGCCCAACTCTTCAAAAGTCCATTCTACTGAAGCAACAAAATGAGGCTTCTCAAATTCACTTCTCAGGAAGCAAGGATGGTTTTAAGTGATAAATATTGTTGTTACAATTTTGACCTTATAAATTATAATTTTTTTTCCAAATTAACCTTCGTTCTCAATTTTATTACGAGAGGAATCGATGTCTGCTAGGGGAGATGAAGAACTAACAGGAAAAAGAAAATTCGCATGAAGCGTACTTTCTCGCCGGAGTTCCGCATAGTTACTCAGCCCACAAGTGTTTGGATTTCTACTGGAGAATATTATTTGGGATTTTGAAGACGAATTTGAGTCTTGCTACACTCCTAATCATAGTATTTTTCATCAAATTCTCCATTCCCAATTTGCCACTGCCCTAGAATCCATTATCGAATCATCGTTTCTGTAAGTTCACATCTATCAATCTCTAGAATTTCTTTAACCAATGAAGAGTTTTGGTATGTTTCGTCTCCTATGGAAAGTTTTAAAATTCCTATGAATACGCGGAAAAAAAATTCCTATGGAATACGCGGGCAAAAAAAATTCCTACAAAAAATTTCGTATGGAGGCAAAAAAAAATTCATACAAAAAAAATTCGTTTGGAATAAGCGGGCAAAAAAATTTCCGAGAGAAAATTTAGGACTTACATTCCTATCAACAAAATTTGCTATTCTCTAAATACTACTGCTATATATATTATCTTTCTCCCTTTCAATCTTTAGTAGCTCTTTCAATTTCTGCAAATTCTCTGCACGATTCATAAGTTGCAAAACTCGAACTCAGGTTAGACATGATTTTTTAAGTGCATCATAGAACAATTCATTTCTTCTGCAAAATCATTCTCATTGTTGTTGAATATGTTATTTTCCTTTTATATTCGAGACATGAACTTTTCGGTCAATTTGATGTTGTGAAGGTGTATTATCACATATTATCTCCTCTTTCTTGCTAGTTATCATCATTGGATTTTTGTCAAGGTGTTTATATATTGATCTATAGCACTGGTTTTTCTAATTTCAAAGTTGTAGAATTTGGTACATGTCTCTATTTATCAAAATAATAATAATAATAATAATTGATATGTGTCTCTGTTTTTGTAATTTGTTGCAATTTGACTGATTTGTCAAACTTGATAGTGTGTCCGAAAAAGAAAAAAAAAACTTGACAGTGTGAAAAACTTTATTTATTTTTTTGATAGATGCTGATGCACTGTTTTCTTTCTTTGTGATTTTTGATGCCTTGTGAGTTCACTTCCTCTATGGGTAAGTGTCTTGCGAGGGCCGTGAGACCTGGTTTTGGTTCAATCTCTTTGTGATGTCATGGACAGTTTGGGAATGCTATCACGTTGTGATCTACTTTCTTCTAGCTAAAGGATGGGATTCATTCTATTCATTTTTTGTTGTTTTCTCTGTACTACGTCTTTTTTTTCCTAAATGGTTTTCTCTGTACTATGTCATTTTTTGTTGTTTTCTCTGTACTCTGAAGTTGAGGTTGTTTTAATTCTTTATAGATTATTAATTTTATGGTATGAAATGAGCTCTTATAATGAGGACATAGGAAATGGGGGCAACTTTAATTCTTTTTATTTTTATGTATTCATCTATGTATTTATGGATGTATCATGCATTACATGTTTGTAGCTTATTACTGTGCCTAACTTGCTCACAAACATGCATGTTGTACCATGCATTTTGATTGTCCAAGCTAATTTGTTATATTATGTTATAGATGGCAAATAATGAAACAGGTGGGTTATTAATGCAAAGTCAAAAGAGTGAAAAAAAGGGAAAAGCAATTTGGAATAATGAGTTGCATAGTATTTTTGTACAATTATGTTATGATCAAATGTTAAAGAGAAATAAAAAAGGGACTGTCCTTAGTAAGGAAGGATGGAATTATGTACTGTAAAACTTTCAAAGGAGAACTGGAAAAAAATATGACAAAAAACAGATGAAAAATCATTAGGATAGTACAAAGAGTGAATGGAAGATATGGTATAAGCTGCAAAGGGAAGAGACTGGGCTTGGATGGGATTATGAAAAAGATACAGTCGTGACTAGTGACGATTGGTGGGCTAATTACTTGCAGGTATATACCTTTCTTTTCTTTTCTTTTTTTTTTAATTATATGAATATGCATGCACTATTTTGTAATTATATGTTATGATAAAAATTATTTTGTTAACAAGTCAATCCAGATGCAACTAAGTTTCGTGAGAAGGGAATTGAACACTCTTACCAATTAACAGCTCTATTTAAAGATGGGATAGCAACAGGTAATTCGGCTTATGGACCTTCACAAGGAACTTTATCAGAAGATAATGCTGGACCTTGTCGAATTGACCAAGATACACAGGATACTCAAGAAGAGATGGGCGTAAATACTATATTTCATAATGCAGAAGAACATAGGGAATATGATAATAATCAAGAAACTGGTGGTGTTAGGGAGAATGATGGTACACGTAAAAAATCAGAGGATTTCATTCCGCCACCTGAGAAACGTCGAAAAGTGACTCCGGCAACTAATATGAACAACATGCTTAAGAGAATATGCAATGCAGTTGAATCAAGGGCAACAAATTCTAACCGTGCTGGTGGAAGTAACACAATCAAGGAGTGCATAGAATTGTTGAACCAAACGACAGAAATACCAAAAGGATGAGATCTTTACATGTTTGGTTGCGACACTTTGTTCTTACAAAAAGAACTACGAGAGCTATTTGTGGCACCCGGAGAGCATGAGTTACGCCTTAGTTGGCTTCAAAATCGACACATGGCTTCTAAGACATCCCATCCATAGTTTTTTATTTTTTAAAAAAAAATTATTATTAAGTTTCAAAATTACCATTATGCAATTTTTATCATTAATATTTTTTTTATTTAGAAATTGATAGTTTTAAGATACTGGAGTGGTTATTTGAGGTTGTTATTTTTATTTATTAATGGAAATGCTTTATTTTAGACTTTCTAAATGTGTGATGCATGTTCTTATATATTATTTATTATTTATAATTTGTTTATTGTATAGATTTTGATGAAGGACGTTCATTGTGACAGTTAAGCATGGATTCAGACAACAATTTTCAATCTGATGACGAATTTAATGAAATGGTGGCAGATGCATTGCTGGGTGTTGCAGTTTGTGTTTCAACTAATTACCACACCAACTATAATGTGAAAGAACCATGTAGAAATTCGAATTATACAGGACATCAATTTGTAATGGAAGTATTAGCTAGACATCATAAGCGTTGTCATGAGTTATTTCGCATGGAAAAGCATGTATTTTTATGGCTTTGTCAAGAGCTCAAACGAAAGGATCTATTAAAAGATAGTTGTGAAATTTCTATGGAGGAGCAAATGGCCATATTTCTTATGACAATTGGCCATAATGAAAGAAATAGGATGCTACAAGAACGATTTCAACACTCTGGTGAGACTATTAGTAGGCATTTTAATACAGTTCTGAAAGCCCTAGTAACATTCTCAACGTCAATTATTGTGCCTCCTTCGTTTGATGATATCCCTATTCACATACGCAACAATCCTAAATATTGGCATCATTTTAAGGTAATTTATGTACTTCTTTCATAATGGATTATATTATTATATTTTATCATTATTTCATTGTTAACTTCATAACAATCTTTTTTGTAGGGTTGCATTGGTGCAATCGATGGAACGCATATTGATGCAGTGATTCCAGTCGATCAACAAATTGCATATCGTGGACATAAAGGAGATTCCACACAAAATGTGATGGCTGCTTGCTCATTTGATATGAAATTCACATTTGTTTGGGCTGGATGGGAGGGATCGGCTCATGATTCTCGTATACTTAACGAAGCTCTTAGTAGGCCAAATTTGAACTTTCCCAAGCCTCCAAGTGGTTCATACAATATTTTTTTTTTCTTTTTTCTTTTATTTTTTTATTTTTTATGTAACTTTTTTTTATATATTTTTCTTTTTCTTTTTGTAGGTAAATATTATGTTGTTGATGCTGGGTATGCTAACATGCCAGGATATTTAGCACCATATAAAGGAGTACGTTATCATTTACAAGAATTTCAAAGAAATCGCCAACCAAGAGGAGTTAGAGAACTGTTTAATTATGCTCACTCATCTATTAGAAATATAATTGAACGTTGTTTTGGAGTTTGGAAGGCTCGGTGGGCAATTTTAAAACATATGGCTCCTTTTCCATTCCCAACACAAAGGTTAATTGTGATTGCATCAATGGCATTACACAATTATATACGACAAGAAGCAATAGCGGATGCCGAATTTCGACGATATGATGATGATGAAGGTTATGCCAGTGACAACGATGATATGTACACGCGTGCTACTTTATCGGAATCTAGTGGAACAATGGACCAACAACAAGAGATGAGCATTATACGTGATGGGATTGCTAATTCAATATTGCAATCAACTAGATAAATTGTTCCTTAGTCTATTTATGTCTTAGGATTGATTCTAAAATTTTAATTTATTTATTTTGAAAAATTATTGTTTATTTGAAATTAGTATTTAAATTATTGATCATGTTTACTTTTTATATAAATGGAAATTTATTGTCTTCTTTAAATAATATTTAACATATCGATTATCCATTTTTAGTGGTAGAAGTGTTCTATCTAATTGTTCATTATAATTTTATGTTAATTACAATTATTATTATTTATTTTTTTTGAATTACTAAACTGTTATTGATATGATTCAATATTTGTGTCAAATAGAATGTAAGGATATTATTGTAAATTTGTAGTTATTTAATAGTAGAAGGACTTCAGTGACTTTGCAACCAAACACATATCGTGTGAGTAAAATCACTTTTGTGCATAAAAGAAGTTCTCAAAAGTAAGGTTTACCAAACGCCTTTTTTATTTCTAAATTCCTTCCTATAAGTGATTCTTGAAAGCCCGTTATAGTAAAAGGACTTTTCACAACAGGAAGCTCATCCAAACAGAGCTTAATTGTAGGAAGGAAACTGATCCCTAATAGGAAAATTGGTTGGAAAACCGTAAGACTTGATTTGTTTTAATCTAAACGTTCAGTAGTGAAATAAGTTATTAATGTGGCGTCTTAATAGCCGTAGGATTAATACTTGGAGAGAACTTTCTTTGGAGAGGATCCGTTTCCTAAATAATGGGTAGACAATTGAATAGAGGGCAAGTGGGAAGTGGAAAACTGTTTAGTGAGAAGTTGACCAGTATTTGATTAAACAAAATTTAAAATGATAATAATAATAATAATATTGGAAAGATATAATGAAAATGACAGCTTCCCAGTCCATAAATAGGGGCAATAAATTAAAAGGAAAAAAATATAAGAATAAATTTGGTCTCTTTGTTAATTCTCTCTCTCTATATATATATATATATATATAATTATAAAATAGAAGGAAAATAAAAATAAAAAATTGAACTACCACAACCATCTAAGCAGGCAAATGGCTGGATAATTCATTGGATTAGTGCCTCCGATATATTTTAGAATGTCATATTTTGACTCTCTATATCTATTAATTAAATTTCTAATACTTTTTGTCTTCAAATAAATAAAATAAAATAAAAATAATTAAAAAAAATTGTAAGCAGATCCTCTTCAATTCTGAAGAGGACCTCACATGGTGGTCCAATTGCCACTTTTTGTGGTGTACTGGCCCTCTCTACATCCAAGCTCCAAATTACATTTCAACATTTTTTTTTCTTTCCCATATTTAGATTACCATTTAATGTAGTGGTAATTAACACTAACAAAATATTTGAATGGAAACGTTTGAGAGGAAAGAGAGGGAAAGAGAGAAGAAAAGAGAGAAAGAAAGAGGGAAGCAATTCCCTACACTCGGCTATGGTGAGCAGTTTAAAAGCAAGAAAAAGAACGAAGGGAAAATAAATTATTGAAAAAGCCGTCTTGTGACGACAATGAGCTCTCTTTATTAACTATTTTGATTTAAAAAAATAAAAATTTGACAACTTTGAAAAGTTAGAATAAAGATCTCCCAATCAAACAATCAAGAAGACGAACTCATCTTCTTATTATGAGAGGGCTCTCTTGATAACCTGAGAATTATTAAGTCCAAAGTTCCTCTTTTCACTTTCTTCCAACTGGGGGAACATGAAAGAAAAAGATAAAGAGTACAAAAGGTGTGTGTTTTGCTTCTATCTCTGTGATATGCGATTTTTTTTTAATCCTCTCTTTCTCCAACTTGCTTCTTAATAAACTCAGCAACAGAAGAAAATGCAGTGACACTATCCAAAATTTTTGTTATCTATATTGTTAATGACACTAACATGTTAAAGAATGTAATCAATGAACAGATTTTGCATGACAAGTCAGAAAGGTAATAGGGTTTTATTATGGATAAATGCCAGCCAAGATCATGATCACCCCAAGTCAACACACGCATATTTAAAGTTGCAGCCTCCACTTATTTTTATTTATTTACTTTTTTTGTGGCTCGTTTTGTCTTTGTCATGCAAGTCCTCACCCCGAATTTAGTTTCTGTTGTAATTCAATATAGAAAGATAAGATTTGTAAATAGAGAGGCCGAGGACAAAGGGTTGGAACTTGGAAGCACTGGAAGTCGTAATATCTTTCTTTTTTATTATTTTATTTATTTATTTATTTTTTTCGCATAGTAAAATCTTTTGTGCTTTTCACTGTGAATACAAATTACATACCGAACCACATAAACCAATCTTTGTACCTTGTGTGGTGTATGGTTTATTTTTCTGTTGTTTTCTGATTGTGTTCTTGATTTAAGTAAACAGTGTCTGAGCAGATACTACCAATCTGTGGAGAAATTTTGGTGCTGCAGGACAGAAGAAGAACAACCGGTGGTTAGCAGAAAAGAAAACCCATCATGGTCATGGAACACAGTCTTGGAGTTAAGGAAGTAGAGTTGCTAATTAATATCTGAATGCAGAACCATACAAACACAGTACAAATACAAGCTTCATGGCATGTTTGCAACCAGAAACAATAATAGACAAGCATTTATGCTATCACGCACAACCCACGTGGGTTTTGTAATATTACCATGTCAACCTGCCTAATTGTAGCTGTGTCCAATTTAGTTGAGTTTGGCTCATCAATTTTCCTTGACAACTGTACTTTGTATTTACTGGGCCAACCCAACCCTTCTAAAACTGATACAACCAGTTTCCAAACTACAAAAAAAACCAGCTGTGTTGTAGGAAACCAAGTCTGGTTGCAACTGCATATAGAAACAGTAATTGAATTGGACAATATGAATAATGGAAGCAACAAAGTAATCCAAGGTCATATATCCATCGTGGAAAATGACTGAGACTCCGAATGTTGGACAACTCTGATTGATGTATATGTGTGAGGGCTAACGTCACGATGATGTCATTAATATCCCTAACATCATGTTGTTAGCCTCTACTCTACTCCAACTGATTTATGTACATGTCATTAATATCCCTGCTAATGTTATGATGATGTCATTAATATCACTGACATTAGCCTCTACTCACATAAAGTCAGGATCCGATTGTCCATGCATGTATGAGCATTAGTACACATTGATTTATCCATGCATGTATGAGCATTAGTACACATTGATTTATGACCACTAGAAAACTACCTGCATGAATTCAATTTTGATTGTTATGGAGGGTGGTTCACAAATGAGCCCCCTTCATTTTCTGACAAAAGATCCAGTTCATATCAATAGAATAGACTAGTCAGTCATCTTAATGTGTATGTGATCAAAATAATAGCACACGAACAAAATGTAGAACCTCAATACTATCACAATCCACCATCAGCTGTAACGTCTGTTCGAAATCGTAAAAATTTAATCATCTTTTTGTTTTTTTTCATCAAATCCGAGAATAATAATGAAGCACACGATAGATGTTTTTCACATTTGGTATGAATAAAGCCTAATATGAGGTTCTCATAATTATAGGTACAAGAAAAAATACAACATCCTGGAAATTATAATGCACTAGCAATAAGATGTTTTTCCGTGCAAATTCCCACGTCACCAACTTTATTAACAAAAATGTTATACCAATCCAAATCTCTCTGAAAGGAAAATAGAAAATCAGTCGGGTGCATAAACCAAGAATCATAGGCTCTATTTGAAAGGATGGTTTAAAATGAAGGGATTTGGGGTTTAAATAACATATATATGGAAGGTTTGCTAATAGAGCTGGATTGAGTAATCCGACGAGGATAGAGACCATGGACATTGGAAAAGATGAATTTTCTTATGATCCATGTACAATTCGAATCCTTCTTAGCATGGATTTCATTTTCAAATGACTCCCTTCGCCTCGGTATATCAAATCCACCCTTATATGCTCTCAAATCCACCCTTATATGCATGTTACTGAAATATAAGCTTAAGTTACCAAATTCAAATTTAGGCTGCAGTCTTAATTCTTAAATCATAAGAACAAAACCAATTCATTTCATCCATCAGTTCAAATGGAGCCTGAGATAATTGAATATGCATTTTATTTATGCATAGAATATCACCTCGTTATATCAATTCTACCCTTATATGACTCTCAAACCAATTCATGCAATTTATTGAAATCTAAGCTTAAGCTATCAAATCCAAATTTAGGCTACAGTCCCTAAATCATACTAACAAAACCCATTCATTTCATCCATCAATTCAAATGGAGCCTAAGATCATTGAATATGCAGGCAGCTTATACCCAAACTAACCCTGCTTGATAAATTTATTTGAAAAGAGCTAAGGTGAGAGATGAAGCTGCATCCAAAAATTAGACGAGACGGGGAAAGGAAAACTACTATAGGAGAAATGGTTCAAAGATAAAATATATGGGGAAAGAAAATCCTAAAATTTAAGGCTCTACTTTTGTTCCTGAATATAATAGATGAAGATTGGGGAACAATTATACACTCTCCTCTTGTGGGGAAAATCTACTTTTACTAAAAATTTGGTTACTTTTCCTCCAGAAAAATTTCCTCAAACGAACTATAATAAAAAAACATAAAAGCCTAATGAGACATTCCCACTTGTGCTCTTGTAAAGGATGGTAATAAGGGGAAAGGGTATCCTTGTAAATGAATACAAATGGACAAACTTACCTTACAAATTGCAATTAATATAGAAGTGGGTAAGAATGCAAAAATGAAAATGTGAATTCCCCTACCATTTCTTGTATTTCCAGTAGTTTAGCTCCACATGTGAGATTATTCGAAAAAATGATGAATGCAGTAACTGCATCGTTGATCAAGAAACAAATCCAAAGGGAAGAAGTTGGTTCAACTGAATAGGGCACCCAGCCAAAAGGAAAAAGGAAGAGGGGAATGTGGGGAGCAGGCTGCAAAAAGAATGATTCCGTTTAACTAAAATAGTTTTATTAGCAGTCAGAAGAAGATAAAACTCGTAAGCATGCAGAATATTTCAATATTTCCTATGGGAAAAAAATCTCATGTGAAAGTACAAGACCAAATTACAACAAATTCCAAAGGTAAATTTGAAGCTCTAAAATTTCCACTTCGTATAAGAATCTTATTAGGCTGTGTGACCTGAAGTCTCTCATTACTAAATAATACAAAGCACAAATGTTGTACCAGAATCGAAGTAAAGGAACTAAAAACCTAGTAATTCTCAAACCATTTAAAACAGGTATAATAATTGTGAACAGCAAATAGTATTATTGAAAATGCTATAGCACAATTTATGAAGAAAAGATCCATCAAATAAGAAAATCTAAACTAGAAATACATATAACGGGTAAATAAGCATCAGTCATAAAATAAAATAAGGAAACTGGCCAATTGGATCTCATCAAGGAAAATCCAGGCAACTGAGAAGCATGATCCCTCTGAACAGTTCAAATGATGCTTCAATAAAGCTTTTGTAAATATTCATAAAACCTAAAATGCATCGGTACTTCAAATTATTAACCTATGTGTCAACATGATAGAAACCTTGAAGAGCTCAAATGGTAACTAAATGGGTGAAGATGCAAACCAATAGGACATCATAAATAAAAGACAGAGAAATCTCCACACTTCCTCCAAGTAAATATTTATGAATCTTGAGTAAAATCTTAAATTTCCCCCCCAAAAGAAGAGAAAAACAAAGGAAGGCAGAGATTACCCACTAGCCAGAATCCTATCTCATTGAGAAAGCAAAGTTGGAACTCTCATTCAGAAAGTAATCTGCACAGTGGAGACAGTGTCACCAAAATCAGACACCTCAGCACCCCATCACGGCACAATTATAGACAAAGCTTCCTGAATGCTTGCTAGCCAGCAAAGTCCACTGCGGTGGGCCTTCATCTGGTACCCAAGAATTAAGCTATATGATCCCTCCACCTAAAGCTCTAGGACCACCAATAACAATAAGCCTGTCTCCGCAGGCCCTAAAGGCTAGCCCCCAACCATTCATTGAGACTGCCCTTTCCGGTAATCTCCCCACTGTAATCCACAAATTCCTTTCCTTATCATATTTTCTCACTTCCTTTTCTGCATAATAAGCCGCATATAGCTCATTTTTTACAACTGCCACCAGAGGAGGTGCCTTGGCTGTAGCAGGTGCCTCAGTCATCCCATCATCTCCATTCCGTGCAGGGAACATATTAGGAATCTCGCGCCAAGTCCTCGTATCCAAATTATACACTTCCCCACACGTAAGCAAATTTGAATTGCCTACACCAATCCCCCGATAACATAGAACTTCCTATCCATAAACACCCCAGAGCACATTTACCTCGGTTTATTCATGGGTGGGAGAGACACCCATGTTCCAGTGTCTGAATTATAAAGCTCTGCCGAGCTCAAGATATTGCCCTGTGGATCACAACCGCCTGCTAGAATTGCAATTTCTCCAAGACTAGCGGAACCAAATAAGCAACTGGGGATCATATCCAAGCCTATCTTTAGCATAAGCATTTCTTTGCTTACCAAGCATGAGACTTAAATTCTCTCTACTTCTTGTGAATTTGGTTAAAATCTCAATTTGATCCTCAATTATGACTTTCAAGGACTCATTTTCGGAAGCTAAATCAATAGATGCCAAATCTTTAGCTAACTCACATTCTTTTTCCTTTTTCAATGTTTCATTTTCAAGAAGGGATTTTTCAAGCTTTTGAGAGATAATTTGTTTTTCTTTTTTAAGATTAGCACACTTTTGAACCATCTTGCCTAATTCGTCATGCAATTCTTTAAAAGTGTCAAGCAAGTAATTGTGGGCATCAACTAATTCATCATAAGTAGTTTCTAAATCAAAAGAGTCATGATTAGAGTTTACCTCATCTTCATCGGCTATGAGACAAAGATTGACCAATTCATTGAGTTCATCATCACTTCCGGATCCATTTGAATCATCATCCTCCCATGTAACACGCATGGCTTGGGCTTTCTTTTTCTGTTCCTTTTCATTTTTGTATGCATAGCAATCCGATTTGAAGTGTCCCGGCTTTCCACAATGAGAACAAGTAGGTGTTTCTCTTTTTCCTTGCTCACTTATCAAACCATTTCTTTTGAGGTTGTTGCTCTTTTGACACTTCTTCATTTGAAGGACTCTTTTCACAGTTTTGGTGATGAGTGCAATTTCTTCTTCTTTTTCATTATCAAGAGCTTTCTCAACTTTAACCTTTTTTGTAGTGGCTTGAAGAGCTAAATCTTTATTGTGAGTTTCTTTGTTGTCATCTCCATCATTCATCTCTACCTTATATGCCATCAAGGAACTAATGAGTTCATTAATAGGAAGTTTGTTGAGATTTTTAGCTTCTTGGATAGCGGTTTTCTTAGCTTCCCAATTCTTAGGCAAAGACCTAAGAATTTTTCTCACATTTTCGGATGATGTATATTACTTTCCAAGAGCCTGCAAAGGATTGACAATGTTAGTAAAACGAGAATACATTTCACTAATTGTTTCTTTGTTGTTCATGGTAAATAATTCATATTTACAGACAAGCATGTTCATTTTGGATTCCTTAACATGACTAGTGCCAACATATGTAATTTTAAGTTTATCCCAAATCTCTTTGGCCGTTTCACAATCTAAAACTCTATTGAAGTCATCTTTACTTAGAGCGCAATAGAGATTTGTCATAGCCTTGACATTAAACCAAGGAGGTTTATTGTTAGATTGACTTTCTTGATAAAAGTTGGCCATGATCGTTCTCTAAGATGATTAAATCTTTAACTAGAGATTAGGCTCTGATACCAATTGCTAAACACTAATTGACTCTAGAGGGGGGTGAATAGAGTCAATGGCCAATTTTTCAAATTTTCAACTTTAACTACTAATTATCAATTATGCAATAATCAATTAAAGTAGATAAATAATTCAAAGCATAAATGTAAGAGAGATAGGGATAAGAAATTGCAAACAATGACTCAGAGATTTTAGTGAGGTTCGAAAACTCATACTCCTCTGCTCAAGATCCCTCTTTCGACTTCCCAATCCATTAAAGCTGATCCTTAATGATGGAGAGCAAACCTTCACATGAAGCAAGCCCTTGCTTCTCTTTTTTACTAGGAGAACACCCTTCTCCTAGGCTTCTTTTAGGTCACACTAACCCTTACAAGTTTGTGATTGAAATACAAGATTGAATCTCTCTCAAGATAGATGTACAAGTGTAAACTCATAACTAGAGTAAATATATGAATGAAATGAAGCTCAAATCTCTAAGATGATATGAGAGAATAAGAGATATGGAATGAATGATCAAATAATGGCCTTGAATGCTCTAGAATAGAACTTCTTCAATACTTTTCAAATTGCTCTCAATAGTTGTGTATCTATAACACAAGCTGCAGCCCCTATTTATAGAGAGAGGAACACAATATAGCTTTTGGAACACAATATAACTGTTAGAGATGAGGTGTGAATAGTCCAAGTTTGCAGGTAGTTGTTTGATTTGAAGTTGACTCTGTATCGGTCAGCTGATGGAGTATCTTCGGTCAGATGAATGTCTCTTATTAGCCGGTTGATCCCCAATCGTCGGTCCAACTCACTGTTTTTGAAACCTCTTCTTGTCGGTCGGCTGATGTATCAAATCGGTCGGGTGATGCATTTATCATAAAGATTATTTTTCGTTAAACCCTTGTCAGTCAGCTAAACCCTCATGTTCGGTCAGCCGAAACGTCTGTTGGCTAAAACCCAACTCTCTGTTTTCTTTGTCAGCCATCTGATGCCTTAAATCAGTCGGCCGAAAGATCTTGAATGTGAACTTCCTCCTCTGTTTCTAGGCTTTTAAAGTTATATGGACAATATATGATGCCATTTAATCATGAAATGAGGAATGAATGATCCTAGGATGTGAGCTTCATGATATTCATAAATCAATTTAACATTTGAATCTATGGCACTCACCAAACCTATTTACCCCATTTGAATTGCCGGTCTTGATTTTCTTTCTTTTCCGTGTTTCATCTTTGAAGCATGGGATTTGAATGACTTGTCTTCTTTTATCCTTGGAGTGCATGGAATGAAACTTGCTTGGCTCATTCTTGCCTTTAATTTCTTCTCCATTCGGACTTCAAATGATTTATCTGTCATATGATCTTAATGCAAATATTAGTCCTTAAAACATCATTAATGTTTTGTGATTGTCAAAATTAGTCTTATGGTTAACAACTAGTAAAATTAATATTTCAAAGAATCCAGTTTTGCATTCTAGAACTATGCACATTGACATTCGACCTCACTTTTTTAGGGAACTTTTTGAATAAAATGTCGTGTCTTTGGAAAAAGTGCATACTGATAAAAATTTGGCTGATATTCTCACTAAGCCATTAGATTCTCTTAAGTTTTCTCATCTTAGGAAATCTATAGGTGTCATTTATCTTGATTAGATGTATTGCAAAGACATAGTCTAGAAAGGTTTTTTTATGCATATCTTGAGTGTCTAGATTATGTTTTTGGGAAGATAAGCAAACCATATTGATTGAGTATATTGAACACAAGGAGTTTTATGACACATGAATTATCTGTGTAAAATATACTATGGCTATGAATTGATGCAATTGGTTTTGCTTACTTGTTTCTTATAATAAATGAATCATTTAAAGTACATTTACGTACTTATATTTGATGTCATTGTTTTGGTCAAAGATAATGTTGATATGAATGATCAATGTCTTGGAATTGAAACTTACTTTATGTATTTTAGACCAAAAGAGTGAAAGTAAAAGAAATTGAAAAACAGCTTGGAATGAAATGTTTTTTAAAAAAATTGAAAATAATTTGTTGTTTTGAAAAGGTGAGAAGGAAAATGCTACCTTTGGGAATTGTCTAAGCTACCTTGACTCGAAACAAATGGGAACAAGGGAAAGAGCTGGTTGCCCATAAGTGTGAA